ATTGTTCCCAAACAGCGAACATTTTGGGAAAAAACAGCAAAATAGTCTGAAAATTTACAGCTCAATGTGTTTGCCGTGAGGCTCAGTCCTTGCCCGACTTGCCGAATGAGGGCGTCTGACGTGATGTCACCGTCGTTGCTCGATAGAAGAAAAACAAGTCGCGCTTTATCAACAACTGTTTCGTGTAAGGCGAAGTAAAAAAAAAAACATGTTTAGCGTCCCCACCCGCTTCCTTTTTAGAGGCCGCCTCCTTTTTTTTTTTAAAGACAAAAATTGATAAATTTTAACGATCTCTGACGAAAGAAATCGTATTTTTAGACTTTTATACCGTGTATAAAGCTGTGGAAATAGTTCGGTTCTGCATAGTTACATCATTTTGGTCTCATTTTCTGTTGCATCTTGCACATAAGAAGCCAATATGTCATTTCCTGAGTCCAAGTGGCGGCCATTTTGAAAAAAGCTGGTAACCATCTTGAAAAATAGCCCGGCCCTGTTGTCTTGAAAAACGTGTCGGGCGGCCATTTTGAAAAGAAAAAAAAAAAAAAGGGCCTCCTCCTTCCTTTTTGTCAAAGAGGCAGGACGCTTCATGTTTGTTTTTTTATTTTGCCTAATGATACGTGCTCCGATCCGCGCCGTACGACAGTATGGGCATTGAACACACCCAAGGTGGAGACGTCATTACTTTGTTTAGAACGTGTACGTTTCAGCCGTCTCCACCTGAAAACTTACAGCTCAATGTGTTTGCCGTGAGGCTCAGTCCTTGCCCCGACTTGCCGAATGAGGGCGTCTGACGTTTTTTCCCAAAATGTTCGCTGTTTGGGAACAATATAAGGGGTCTGATGGAATGTCATGAATGTGTAGATCAATCCAGGGTAACTGTCTCTCTCATTTGTATTCTCTTTACCGGTTTTTTGGGGGTCTTTTTGTCCTCGCGTGGGTATTTACATTATGCTACTGTGACGCCGTCACCAAAGTATGGCAAATGGGTGGAGCGTTTGTTTGGAGGGGTACCTGTAATTCAACGCTCCACTCAGTAGAGCTATGCGGCAACAACACGCGACCCGAAAATAAAGATGGCGATCACCGCTCGATGAACCGTGAGCGGGCACGCACGACATGCTGAATCGCAAGGCACAAACCGCGCAGGAAAATCGTGATTTCTAACCAAAGAATCTGTTCAAAATTGCAAAACGGGTGTCATTAGAATTGAGGAAAGTCTGCTTTTGATTGTAAAGGTGATTTTTGAACAATAAAAAAAAAATTGACTCTAATTTGATCAAAACAAAACAGGGGCCCTACACTTCGTGATCGCCACATTCTTTCCGCTCGATATGCCCGAGTAACTTGGTGCCCAACTCATTTCCTTTTTATATTTTGTACTACTAGTCTCGGTAATCGTTATCTGTAGGACCCAAGGTTAAAGAACTCACCAAAACAGCTGACTTAATGACACTCAAAAGTGACATACATGTAGGGGCCTACACTAGGGTGGTCGGCATTTTTGGTTTTTTTGGTCCAAACACAGTCGTTTTCCTAGCTGGAGTTACCCAGCCCTAAATTTTATCATTGGGTTGTCATTTAGGGCTGGAGGAAGTTTTTCACTTGGACTGCAGCATTGGCAGGTCCAAAAAAAATTCGAAAATGTGCAATTTTGTTCCCCTAAACACACTTATTTCAACTGGGTCTTACCCACTTCACCACTTCACAGGTCTTTGAAGAAAAAAAACGATCCATGATGAAGATTCAGCCTACAATTGCAGTGAAAAAAGGAGGCATAACCGACAGCCGTGCGGTCATGATGATGCCCGGTGCTAGATTTGTGCACCAACAAACTGCAAAGCGCTGTCGATTACCATGCACACACAGCAAACCAACAGTCACACTTGCCAACTGCATGGCGCCAGTCAGTGGCCGTGTCTCACACGCACACAGCCCTGTTTGACCTCAGTTTCTTGTCCCGAGGTCGTGCATGCGTGGCCCAAAAGCGTACGCGAGGTTTTACAAGATTTATGCGAGACTAAAGAAAACACAAAAAGTGCCTGGATACATGTACTGTTTGGCCAAGATATGGCTAAATATGTGAAAAGTTCAAATCGTGTGCTTTATTTTGATACCAAAAATAACTGCTTTTGCCAAATATAAAGTGTTGTCAGGGCCTGTCGAACAAAATCATATTTTTTTATCAACAAACATGACAAAAGCGAGGGCCGATAGTTTTTAAGTGTACATTAGATTCTTCAAAACGGCCAAAGATTCATAGATAGAGGAAGGTATATGCTTCATTTTCATGTGAAACACGTGCAGGAGACTTCTAATGTTTGGTCCAAATCCCCGGTTAAAAAAAATGAAGACCGTTGCGAGATTTCATGATTTGCAATCACATGTACGCGTGTAAACGAAAGTAAGTACGCTGATGTACCAGTACGTTGGCTTGAAAACATTGCGAATAGCACGTGCGAACGTGCAATGAATGACTTATGAATATTAAGCAGGCCATACTCGAGCTGCTCGACCAATCAGTGGGCGTATGGGTCACAAGGTCACACCGTGTTTGGTTTCCTCGCTCTATGCTTTACAATGGTGACGATATTTCGCATTGTGAAAAATGGAAGTTGTTGGAAACATTAGGTGTACATCAAATTCTTAAAATATTGACGACATCACGTTCACGAGATTTTTTGTAGATGAAGGTTCATTTTTTCCTTTGACAACATTTGGGAGACTTTCGTCGTCGTTGAAAAACCTGAAAATTTCATGACCTAATTTTTAGTTGATTTTTCCGTGAAATATTACCGTCAAAATGCATCGAAATCCTTTTTTTGAGAAAAAAATACTTTGATGGATGTATGAAGTAGGTCTTTAACTACCGAAAACAACTTTGTTTGTTTGAATGGGTTGTGGTTTGCCATGAAAATCACAAATTTCGGAAGCCTTTTTTACGGCCATCTTTCGCTGGCCTCGCGTTGCTGTCAGTTGTGTGGACGAGAAAATAGAGCAGCTACGCGTGACACAGCAACTGACTGGGCGCGGCGCGGCATGGCGCTGAAGCCCGCACCGGATGCCTGTTTGATGCACCACTGCTGCACTAACTATGAGGCTTCACTTGCATCACGGCAGAGGTAGAACGGCAGCCGAAGTTGGCCGACAAACAGTCGTCGGGTGCGCGCTTCAGCGCGCAGTTGGCAAGTGTGGCAAGTGTAGTTGGCAAGTGTGACTGGTGGTTAAAGTATTTTAAGAATTTTTGCACTCCTTAAATTGTGTTTCTTCATCAGATTTGGTACTTTTCAGGTCATGGCCCAGTATGGAACTCTTTCCTAAAAGATATGAATCTGGGACAGAGAATCACGTTTCCAATGTGGTTAGAAAATACTTTGAAAATCTTCTTGACTTTCCATTGACTTTTAACACAAATGCTGAATGCTGCATTCTTTCCGTCTGACATGCCAGAGTAACTTGGTGCCCAACTTCGCCTTTTTATTTTTAGTACATGTACTAGGCCTAGTACATGTAGTAGGCCTAGTCTCGGTAATCGTTATCTTTAGGAACCCGTTCCTATATAAGGTTAAAGGCAGAAAGGACTCATCAAAACAGCTGACTAAATGACACTTAATACGTACATCACTTTTTTTTCAATCATTTAAGGGAGGACACCTTCTTGAATATTTTGTTTATTATATTGTGGAAAGTGGGCATGTCTTCGATTTATGAGGGAAATTATGGGGTAAAAGAGTCATTTGAAAAGACGACGACGACAACCAGAAAACAGGCTCGAATTTATGGCAACAGTGAAAACTTGATGCAATGAAGGCTCGATGCTGATCATGCTGATTGGCTTATAAAAAAAATAATATTTTTTGAAAAATTTGTTATCAGCCAATCAGCATCAGGCTTTCATTCTGTCTGGCTTGCGTCTCTGCATTGCAAAAAAAAAGATAAGAAAGTCACATTTTCTTTGAAAGTGCGTTTCAAAATTACAACAAACATGAGTTAATCTGAAGACAAAAGACTGGCCCGCAAAAGTTGTTTTGGTACTGAACAGTCATGCAAAAGTCAGTTTTGAACGGAACGGAACCGGTAAAAAATAGAGGTGTTCTGAAGATAATGATTACCCAAGTCTCAGTACACAGTGTAAGCCCCATCGGAGTTACATGTACCACTGCGTGTGTGCACATCACATGACAACAATGGTCTGTGGATAAACAAAGCAGAAAGACTTCCATACCCCACCTGGACATCACTTGTCACCCTGTGCACAAACCCTATTATGAGACTGGTCAGAAAAGTTCCAAGTGTTTTCTCAGTAAATACTACAATATTTTCCCTGCAAAATTTGGCTTTTTAGGACATGTTATCGGAAAAATTAGTGATGTCCATACATGTATATTTATGGAATTCTTTCCTTAAATTGCACAAAAGTTGGAGCATACACATGATCAATACAAAACGTGCCATTAAGCATTCAACATTTTGAATCAAAAACATACTTCAAAACAAGAACACTTTCTTCGATTTCGTTGGTACCCTGCTATGATTTTGCATGCATGCATGTGGCAAACTGTTCATCCACAGACCCTTATCGCTGTCATGTGATGTGATGTGCGCACATGCAGTTGTACGAAGGACATTAACTATTAGGTCAGGGAGCCAGACGATGCTGTAACGATAGTAATTACCCCAACAGTAGCCCCTCCATTATTTTTAACATTTGGACATGATCTGGCGATAGTACTTACATGGTGTTTCAAATAATTAACAACCCAACCATTTGCCAACAAAACCATCAGATTTCACCCTCAAAACGGCCACAGAATTACTACATATGCCATGTGAGATACAATTACGGATTTATGATTTTAAGATCAAGATATTAAACGATACTTAGGCCTACCGTCTGGATGAAAGTGAAATACCGTTTATGAATATCGGCGAGGGCTCCATTGCGAATGTCGCGCGGACTTCATTTTCCAACTTTTCCTCCTTTCTTTTCCAATTTTAGTAAAGTATGGCGACTGGCATCCAACATGACCTGATGAAGCAGGCACAGTGCTTTTGGTCAATGCTGGATGAGCTTGCAGAGACCGATGAAGATGCATACAGGAAGTTCATGGCCACAAACCTCCAAAGAGGACAGCAAGAATTGACACCGGCTAAGCCATGGATGTGTGTCAAGACCCGTATCATGGTAGGTTCACTTAGGCTGAAAATATGGGTGTGTTTACGGTAACATCCTAACAATTATCCAGGTTGGTAGGTAGGACAATTAACTTTCTTAAGTTTCTTTATGTTTGTCTGTCAGTCTGTTTTACTTTTACTTTGGTTATTTATAGGGTATGCACCCTTCACTGGTATTCTGGTTAATTAACCTGTTGAATTGTTTAATTTAACCATCAACACACCACAAGACTCGCATAGGGGCAATTCCATAAAATCCAATGTACGTCGGACCACATGATGTACATGTACAGGGTCGTTACGGTGGTGGTGCCTTAGTTTGGTCTGTAATTGTTTTCTACTCATTAGATGTCACATTCTAGTCTCCCACGTAAGAACAGGCTTCTCCTAATCTTAATCCCAATTTACGGACACATCTTTTTGTCCTTTTTGTTATAGTCTTCTTGGCTATAAAATGTTATCATTGTTACTACATGGACCTTTGTCAGTGTACCATAGCGATGAGGACACTCAGGATGTCGTCATGAAGTCTGAAAGTGATGATGATGCGTCAGGTTCAGTGAGAACTAGAACTTTGCATTTCAAGTTCATTGATGCTTATGTGTAAAGATGAATGATAATGATTCTACATGATCCTAAATGTACACACATGTACATGTAGGTTTCTTCTACATGTACACACATACATGTACATGACAAAAGTTTCTTTCTGATCGAAGGCCAGGTGAAGTAATTTATTGCTAGAGATCGCCAATTACTAGAGATCGCCTTAAAAAGAATAAAAAGGGGGGGGGGGACTGGACACCACATTATAGGGGCGCTCTTCAGGGTAAAGAAAAACATATGTCATGTTTATCAATATGTTATACTCGCTCTTACATTTTTAAAGCTTTTGTACTTTGTTTCTCCACTTTTCAATGCTATTGAATACATTTTAGTTGTTGGGTCGTTCGGAAAATACCTCCAAATGCGCAGTTTTTTTCTCACCCCAAAAAGGTCAAGGGTGGGGATGATTCAATAGCCCATCCCCCTGGTCAAAAAGTGGGGTGGGGGATATACATACCCCCCCCCCCCCCCCCCCCGGATTTACGCCCCTGCCCATCGCCATTTTGAAAAATGGTGCCTTTGCAAAATAAAGCAATTTTAGGGCCCAATTTCATGCGAATTTCACAGAAAATACAAGCTCACACGCCTGTGCTTCCACCCATCTTTTTTACAACGTTCAAGTTCATGGCCCACAAAACGCTCTAACAGCAAAGAATATGAGGGCAAACAAATTGTGATTTGGCCGCTTAGACCATTCTGGGCCTACCATATTTTACAGGTCTGCACCCTTTGGGGAAAATGTAAACATTGGTTTTCTGGCTAAGTATACAACACAGTTTCCAAAAATGTATAGTTTTGCTAATCCCCACAAAATTTGAATGAAATTACAGTAGATTAGGCCAAAATAAAAATACTTCTGCTTCCAATTAAATAGGGTTGGTCGGTCAGAATGTTTTTTTGGGGGCCAATTTTTTTTAATGCTGATTGAATGGGGTATTCAATTATATGCGAAGTTTGAGTCTGAACTATTTCCATTGCACTACGAATGCTGTACAAAAAAAATAGCCACAAAAAGTGAATTAAACCTACCTTAAATATTGTCCACATATTTACGTTCGATAATTCTTTAATTCCATTAAAAAATAATGTAAAATTCAGGTCGTGCGCACCATATGCACAACACTAGTCAAGATGGGGAACTGGCCAAAAGTCTGTGTGTGATGCATGCACTGTGTGCATGTATGGCGGGCGACAGACCTCTTTTTACGATAAAAAATTTCGGGGAAACACGCTGCATCGTATCACTCCAAATACGAGTAGTGCGATCTCAAATCGAACTCTTGAACACGGATGATACATACATGTACACAGACAAGAGAGATCAAGTTCTGTGAATTAACTTGCAAAAATGTTCTTTCTCCATCGGTGTTTTCTTGGCATTTTTACTATGTCCAATCCGACCAGTTGCCTGCACCACGCGGCCTGCAATGCATAGCCATGCACAGACTGGTAACCGCATTTTCATCATGTCTTCTAAATTGGCCCCTGTGCGGTGCGGTGGGAACCAGTCATCGCTGCATTGATGAGCTAGCATTACTCATGTGTTTATCGTCACTGGGACATCAAATTGCGAAGTAGTTATCGCGAAGCAAATTTCTAAAAACAACAGAGGTTTCTTGTGAACAAAAATAGCGAATGTAAGTTAGGAAACAAATAAATACAAGCATTTTTTACGCAAAAAGGGTTGTTGAGAGGTATTTTGTGAAGACAGAAAAGACAAGATTTTTTTTAAATTTATTCAATCATTAATTTAAAAAAAAAAATTGGAATTGCTGATAAAATTTTTAGGGTCGCGGCCTAAAAATAGGGTTGGTCGGGTAACCGGAAGAAGAAGTATTGTTTTTTTGGCCTTACCCCTGTGGTGTGTGCTGTAAGTTGTTTACAAGCAAATCACTCATTATCAAAGAAAAACAGATTGAGTTTGCCTAGTAAAGAATTTTTCACTTAGGACAGGTGATGATGAGCACTCCAATCGAAATGAAAAGCACCTGCAATAGTCCCATATCGCCATTATTCCTTTTACCTGGTGTATATGTACATACCGGTAAACATACATTATCTGTAAGCAGCGGGGCAGCACCAAATATGGGATTGTTTGTGGCAGCTTTTTCATTCGGTATTGTTGATAGAATTGGCATCAAGGTCTGTGATGAGAGTCAATGGTGGATGACCTGAGAATACAAACCAAATTATAGGTAGCAGACCAGTAAATAAACTTCCATAGACCCCAATGGTAAATGCTCCCACTTCAAAAATTCGGGAAAAATACTCACAACTCTCCAAGGTGTTCGAGACACACATCAAATTAAAGCTTATTTCATCATCTTTAATTTTCTTTTCAATTTTTGGGGGGTCAACTGATGACTTTTAGGAGAAATGTCCATCTGAAGATGATCACCCCTGAAAATAGTCCTGAAGCCCATCGCCATTTTGAAAAACGATGCCTACACTCCATTGCAACATAGAGCGCTTTTAGGGTCCAAATTACATCAGAACCATTACACAGAACTGCAAGCTCCCAGTCCTGTGCACGGCTTCCACCCATATTTTTTACAAACCCTCAAGTTCATGGCACACAGCATGCTCAAATACTGAAGATTTTGAGGGCATGCAAATCGTGATTTGGCCGGCGTAGGCAATTTCGGACCCATTTACTGTCTGCACCCATAAACGGGGTAGTGACGTAGTGACGACACTGAACTTGAATGGATTTTTCTCTGGCTCGTTGTAGTGTAGGTAAACATTTGTCGAGCACACCATTGTACAATCAACAATATATACATACAGGGGAAAGTCCAAGGTTTTGCCCTTTAATATATAGCATTGTGCATCATGTGTGTTATAACGCAGTATTGAACAAGTCCCTTTAACGTCGGGTTTGCTATAACTGGGCAGACGGCACTTTATTCATGTAAACAATTTTATATATTCGCAACACAAAAAGTAGTGCCCGCCTTTGCCATGTTCGGGAAACATGTGTGCTAATTGGATGAGATGTTTTTGTTGATATAATTTATTATTGATCCCTTTTGAACGTTGTAAGGGGTAAATTGTACTTTTCATTATAACTACAACTATTTCATTGAGGAGTGATAATTTTACTCAGTGGGAGTGTTACATTCGCTCTCTCAATGTTTCCGCTGCTGACGTGTACATGTACTGGGGTACAATAGCCGAGGGTTACTGGCACTTTATTCCAGAAATTCACCAGAATCTTATCTGGATGTTAAAAGTAAGTGTACCGGTATTGTTTATTCTTTCGGATAAAGGGCATTAGGCGAAATGATTCAAGCATTTGGGGCATGAAAATGTGTGTTTTTCTGGCTACATATAATTATGTAAACGTGAATGTTGTGCATGTCGTGCATATGTATGCAACCAACTCGTACCCAAATTATTTGTTGCAGCATGTAGTGGCTAAAATAGAGTGAGAGCATGCTGGCTTGAGTTTGTTCATTCCTTTTGTATCTGGATTGTGCAGTGGATGAGCTTCCAGTATCAGTAGAGCACTATGGACAGTCATCACTGTTGCTGTTATCCAGCCAGTTAATCTGATCATGAAATGAGCTGATCAATCCAAGCTCAACTAATCCAAGACTGTTGAGAGCTTTATTTCCGAGAGGTACACACCCTCATTCCTGAGGTGGAGTTCACACCCCCTTCTTGGCAGGAGTCGATCAACTCGCTCCTGTTCCATGATATACATACATAGTCTGGTTATATCCAATTTACAAATGTATTTCTCATTAACCTGTTTAATTGTTAACCAACAACACGCCAAAAGTCTCGCATTGGTACTATTCCGTAAAATCCAACGTATGTCAGATCACATGATGTACATGTACAAGGTCGTTAAGGTGGTGGTACCTTAGTTTGGTCTGTAATTGTTTTCTTAACTCATTAGATGTCACATTATTAATGATGTAGGCTATCACAATCACTTTTCCAACAGCAGCTCATTAAAGTGTCTGACATTTATGTCCAAATTTACGGAATTGCCCATAACGAAGTCCTTTTTTTTTTCAAAACGTACTTTTGTTACAATGATACAAATTCAGCAAATGTTCAGTGAGGGATGCCAAACACAAACAGGTTAAGATATGCATGCGACCATGTTCATTGAAATTTGAATGCACTTGCTGTGTAGTAGCCTCTTCAATGATACCCCTGTAATCCACGCACACATTTCGTTTTGTATTCTTTTAAAAGCATCTTCAAAGGTCTCATCTTTACTCCGTATATATCTTGTAAAGAACATCCGTCAGTTCAACATTACTTTTTTGGCCAAATTGATGAACATGATGAAAGACAAAATGGTTCATCTCAATGGTATTTTCTGTATACCGATAGGCCTAGATGTATTTAGAAACTAATAATCAAAAAAAATCTTTTCGCATAAAATATAAGCCCATATCTCTGCCTTAAAAAGAACAACTCACAGTAACACTCGCATTTTTCGTGTAAAAACAAGGTGCCGAATGACTACCCACAATCTATAAGTTTAGCCATAAAAGCAGGTTTTTTGGACAAAAAATGCACTTACATGTAACCATATTCCATCTGACTGCCAAATAAGTAACTCGCACTCAAAAGTTTGCCCCCTTTAATGCGATACCACAGATTAGCTTTTGATGCTTGTAGTTTTGAAGATGTCAATTTGTCATTTTTCGGTCATGTCCGTTTTCTCAAGGAATTACCCTTGGCCTTATGCATGTCAGTGTTGGATCTGCGGGGGTGGGGGAGGGGGGTTAGTGGGTCTAGACCCCCTTTTGGGCTGCACGAAAATGGGAAAAACATGTAGTATTTGGACAAAAAGGCCTGTTTATAGTCAGTCGCACGATGTTTGCACGACTGAAAAATTGACGCGCGATCAACTTGCCGCTGTACTGTTTAGTGTCCCCACTGTAAGATGATGTTGATTGTTTCCTCTGAAGTCCTTTCTGAATGAGAGAATTCCTGAAGTTTGCCACACACAGAACTAATTAGATGCTTGCTAGTGGATGTTGACGTTGTGGGTCGTGAGGTAGACGCAGAAGTGTCTTGGACTTGGGTAGTACAACTGGCTCTGTTGTCAATAGACGTAGTAGACTTGGAAACCAATGCTGTGTTTACCAGAAGGGGAGGATGAGCACTCCTGTGGCCATTTCTATATTCTGGTAGTCTTTGTCAATTAGAGAAAATGGTGGAAAATAATAAATTAGTTCATTTTCCCATGGCACTGAAAAGGCATCGCAAGTTCCTGCCTGTGGATCTGGCAGCTAACAAATGAAAGATTCGATTTGGCAGTTTGTTCTAGAAGCAAACAGACCTATGTTCTGCACACCACAGCCATATTCTCTCAGTCAACTCTCATATTCTCTTAGTAGTTCTGTTGTTTGGGTAAATCATTTGATTTGGTTTCCAACTGAGGACATAGTGTCCTCTTATGTACTGTCAATTATGTTGTTCATTGTCCTCAGTGTACCCAAATGACCCTCTCTCAGAAGCATATACGTATTGTTTTTGTCTTTTAAGTTTAAAACTGAGTTGAAACTTTTTGTAAGTCAAAATTGATAACTTCAAATAGATTGAAAATTCTTGATCAGTATTTTTTTTATAAAAAGGGGAAAGAAAACCGCACTTAGTGTGTGAACTTTGAAGACATTGGAGGAAAATGTTTTTTTACAATATAAAGGGCATTTATTTGAGGGTTAAATAAAAGTGGAATTAAATGGATACTGAGGTGTATGCGATTGAAATTTAACCACTTGTATCATGTACATGTACGTTGTACATGTAGATAGAATGCACGAACCTATCTAAGGTCCAAAACTCAAGTGTCAAGTAAACATACATACACAGATGAACAGATGCAGACTGTACATGTATGTGTAACTTATGCAGCAAAACAAAAATCCCAAGTTCTAAACCATGTCACGCGACTTGATGATGATGCTGTGTTTGTCCAGCGCCATCTTTACCAGATCCACCTCATTAAACGCTGTTCATGCTGTTTACATCAAAGTGGAAACATTTGTCAAGTGATTTTTGTGGGAATTTAGAAGAGGTAAGAAAAAATTGTCAGTTTCTTTGCCTAAGGTTAAAGGCTAGCTTACAAACGTAGGCTGCAAAATGTGAAGTGTATAATAAACGTACACAAATTAATGTTCCAACAAAACCTATGCAGTAATAGGCAGACTATGGGGATCTGAAATACAGTTTGTCCATTTCAATATTGTCTTATAGCTTGTATTATTTAACTGAGCACTGCAATAAGGACACGGGCCGAAACTTGCGTTGAGTTGCATTTGTGAAAGAGGCTACAATGTACATGTACATGTACCAAGCAGCAGTGTTGGAGTACTCGTATAGTACATGTACTCGGCCCGTACTTGGCCCGTACTCGGCCTTCAGTGCTCAAAAATGATTTGGACTTGGCCTGTACTCGATTCTTTATACTCAAATTTTGGCACAGACTCATTGGTTTGGACTCGGTACTCAACCCCAGTACTCGGGAGTACAAATCGAGTACATTTCTTTCCTTATCGATTTTATTACAACCTGGAACTCAAGTCTTTACCGATGAGATCATTTTGGGATTTTTCCCAAGCAAACTCCTTGTCCCGGCACTTTATATCATGAGCACGTGAATCAGGAGCCATCTAAGCCTATGCTTCTTATGTTTGCTTAGTGCTACACTGTTATCAGTGAGACCATTTCGGGATTTTTCCCAAGTTAGGATTTTGCTTGGGAAAAATCCCAAAATGGTCTCACTGGTATAAACCGTACAGCGCCAAGCGAAGATAAAAAGCATGGACTTGGCTGGCTCCCAATTCACGAATCCTCCGTGCTACAAAAAGTATTGCCCGTTACCTAGGGAAATCTTGGGAATTTTACACAAATAGTATTTTGCATGATCAGAATGCCTTGCCATTTCACATGCTTGTCATGTGCATTTTTACCCAATTTTGTTGGTGTCAGCCTTATTAATAAAAGTTATTGGTGTTCACCATTTGGTAAAACACATTGGATTGCGTGCTGTGGGTTTTTTTAAAATTTAATTTGATTTGTTTCATTTTCTTTTATTTATTCTTGTGCTTATTTATTTATTTATTGTACTTTTTGTTATTGTACTCGGACTCGGACTCAGACTGAGGTACTCGGACTCAGCTCAGTACTCGGCGTTGAATGTACTCGGACTCGGTACTTTGGACTCGGACACGTCAGAGTGTACTTGGACTCTGCCCAGGACTCGACCCCTAAAGTACTCAGAGAACTCGGTACTCGGCTTTGAGGACTCGACTCCAACACTGCCAAGCAGAGGGCAGAGCTAGAACAGTATCTCATAATCTGTAGGAAGTTAACAAAACAGTACTATTCTGGACCACTATTTCTTCAAAAGGCAGAAATGTACATTGTTGCAAAAAATGAAAAATGAAAAGAACCAAATAAAAAAGGCAAGATAAAAAAAAGTTGAAGAAAGCAAAACCACCCTCACCCCAAGTCCATGACATTCCCATTATTAGAGACCATCAACCGACCACCTGATGAACCGACAGAGCAACAAACCAATTGACTGAATGACAGATTGACCGACTAACCGATCGACCGACTGACATAGTGACCAACCGTTCGACCGATGGACCGATGGACCGATTGACCGACCAACAGCATCCATTATGTGATTTTACCTGATTGTACTCTGCACTCACAGGATAATACCAGGGTTGGACTACCGAAGCTGTCTGTAACTAAACTGTGCCCACATCACCAGCGCTAAATGGCAGAACCACCGGCTAAGAGAGTCAGAAGACGAAATGAGACACAAACTAACCCTGGTCCAAGCACAGCACAAGACAGTCAGGCAGCTGCAACCCAACAACTACCGGCTGATGGAGTGAGGGATGATCAACAAACGATTCAGTCTTGCAACAGACAGCCTTCCCAGCAGGAACCAACGCCACAACCACCACAGCCAAGACCGGGTGAGACACAAACTAATCCTGGTCCAAGCACAGCTCCAACCCAACAACTACCAGCTGATGGAGTGAGGGATGATCAACAAATGACTCAGTCTGGCAGCAGACAGCCTTCCCAGCAGGAACCAACACAACAACCACAGCCACAACTACAGCCAAGACCGGGTGAGACACAATTATTTGTCTCTAAACCCTGCACTTTATGACTCCCCTGGCCCTGATATCGGATCCCTGACAGCATCCTTCCCCTCCATCCTTTGCATTGACGCTATTAGGCACAATATAGCATAAGCATAGCACAGTTCCTGAAACAAGGGGGACCGCACCAGTGATGTAGTGCCTTGATGCTGGGCCTTGGCCTTAAGGCTGCCTTAAGGCTGGATTTTAGGGCCTAGGCCTTGGCCGGGAGGCTTGAGGGCAAAAGCCTTGGCCTTGGCCTTGGCCTTGAGGGTTCAGGGCCTTGCAATTTTGAGTCGAGGCTCTTCAAGGCCCATAGATTTTTGAATTTTCCAGATAAATCTATTCGAAATTTTGCTGTTACCATTTTAATCGTATCACCATGGAGGAGGGAAGCACCCTATAGATTTGTGTGTTGGGCACACTTCCACTTTTGTAGCATCACATTTTGTTACCATTGTAGTAGGTTTGCTGCAAAAATATTCCGTACACTTGTGGGGCTAATGAGATGATCACTTTAATTGCATATAACTATGGAATAGATCTGATTGGTTGTATATGTCTCCCTGATAAGTGCTAAAGATTTGCATGTATCTGTTTTAGATAATGCTGATATTTCTGACCATGTTGGGCCAGCAAATAAAAATTTCCCAAATCAGTTTCTTGGATCCCCCTTTTTGTTACACTTGGGAGAAGTGACAGCATTCTAGGATTTCAATTTCAAATCAAAAGTTGCTAAATCATGTTTCAAATTGTTTTGAATTGCAGCTTGACGCGATGTCGCGCACTGATCCGACGAATTATAGCAACCGCGCGCGCCTTTGTGTCGTTCCATTGCTGGTCTTAGGGTTAACGGGGGATTATACTGTAGAAAACTCTGTCCTTTTATGTTACGTGTGATCGACTTTATTTTCAGATAATGTCAAGAGAGCCTTGGAAGCAGATGCTAACGAGCGCGCAGAGAAGCGTAAAGCAGAGGCGACGGTTCTGAAAGATCAGGGGAACCAAGCGTTCAACAAGGGTGATTACACACGAGCCGTTAAACTCTACACGCAGGGCCTGGAAAGTCTAAAAGACTTTGTGGTGCTGTACACCAACAGGGCACAGGTAAGCAAGTCAAGTCAAGTCTGTTATGAGCTAGTCCGAGTAACTAGGACTCCACGGATCGCTTTTTTAACATTTGGACATGGTCGGGCGATAATGTTAAAAAAACGATCTGTTGAGTCCTAGTTTAATACTCGGACTAGTTTTAATATGAGCCAAGATCTCCGTATTCATGAAATGACTGAGAATATTTCTATTCCCCCCTAGATCAGCTCATTGTAGGTTGCTCCCCAACTAATACCCTTACCCATTTACACGTGTACTCCTGGGTGGAGAGAGGCAAGTGGAGGTGAAGTGGCTTGCCCAAGGACACACCATATGACCAGCAGCTGGATTGGAACCCCTGACCCTCTGATCATGAGTCACTACAAACCTAACCACTATGCCACACTCCCCCAAAGGTAGACAAATGAACAATTGTTGACTGCTGTGATGTGGGATATGACACCTGAGGGGGGCATAGCACCTGCAGCTAAAGCAGAGGGTGCTAAACATGACATAGCCCACATCACACCAGTCAACAAATGTTTTGAAGGTTTTTAACTTGCTCGTGCCAGACAAGATATTGAAAAGCTGCAGTACTCTGTTGCGAGGCACATGTGCCCTTCACGCCCACATAATATAGGCATTGTGGTGTATATGAGATAATTTGCAATATAATCATAATTTGTATTTATATGCAATGCAGGGTTCATGAAGTAAACAACCATTATTGTAGACTGCACATGTGACCGTTCTCAAGGGGGAGGGGGTCCAGAACCATTTTTTTGTGGGGGGGGGGGGGGGTGGGTGGGGGCCCAAGTGGGCTCGATTTTCTGAAAAGGGGAAAGGGATTAAGTATATAGTACTGTGCACTATTTGCACATTGCTGATGGCTTGTGAGAGATATGCATCGTTTTAATTTATTTCCTGAAAGGTGTTCATATAAAGGGAATGAAAAGAAAGTAAAACATATCACTTTGAGAGGGAGGCCAACTCATCTTACATGTATGTTTTTGTAGTACTGCACATAAGGCAGACAATTAATCCCAGGCGACACACCTGTTATCCTGCTGAGACACACAACGCTTCGTTGATCACTATGCGGCAAATTTAAATCCCCTCTTTTCACTTATTTCCCCCCACCCAGGCTTACAACAAATTGGAAAAGTTTACAGAGGCAATGGAGGACTGCCGGACGGCCTTGCAGTTGGAACCAAAGAAAGTCAAGGCATTGGTGCACCTTGGCAAGGCCCAGCAGGGACTGAAGGATTATGAGGCGGCTGTTAGGACTTACAAAGAAATCCTCAAGATTGACGAGAAGTACGAGAAAATGGTGGCAGGTGGGTCAGCAGTCTTCAGGCCAAATGCACAAACAAGTCATGCGATCACGCTAAATGAGTCATTTGTCGGCCCTTATCGAATTGTGTGAAATTTTGACAAAACCAATAAACCATTATCATAACTAAATAACAATTCAGAGAAATGATCCACAACTCCTAGTCTGTGTATTCTTCTTGACCATTACCAGATAATGGCTGTACATGTAGAAGATTTGAAAAATACATTGTCTTAAAAGCTCTTTTCAATACTGACATGAGGTTCAATTGCCCATAACCAGAATCTGTCTTAGCAGTATTTGTATTAATCCTAACTCCCTAGGCGTTTTTGCTAGGATACAAACTCAGTCCTGCAAAATCCTCCAACTGCTTTCATGTAAAAATTGCAGACAGCCTCAATCCTGCAAAATGCTCTGTTATTGATGTGGTCCTTGGAGGGATGACCACTGCCTCAATCCTACAAAATCTTTCAGAGAGTTTTAAGGGGATAAAGTGTCATCTGCAACATATCAGCTGACATTTGAAGAAAAAAAAAGTGGGGGAAAAAAACAACCTGCGTCACTGCACAACTTTTGGGGCAAGCTCCATACCAGAAACTGGAGACTTTGTTTTGGCCTCAGGGTTAACGGGGGATTATACTGTAAAAAACTCTGTCCTTTTATGTAATGTGTGATCAACTTTATTTTCAGATAATGTCAAGAGAGCCCAGGAAGCAGACGCCAGCGAGCGCGCAGAGAAGCGTAAAGCAGAGGCGACGGTTCTGAAAGATCAGGGGAACCAAGCGTTCAACAAGGGTGATTACATACGAGCCATTAAACTCTACACGCAGGGCCTGGAACGTCTAAAAGACTTTGTGGTGCTGTACACCAACAGGGCACAGGTAAACAAGGGCATGTTTTGGCGCTGTGACCGTAAACATGTTTCTGGTTCGCGGCCATTTTGGCGCTACGGTTACACTGAAATAACGTCATTGTTTCGACCAAAGTTGAACCAAGGTTTCCGGTCGGTTCACTTACGTTTCAAGATGGCGGAAAGGTAAAGAAGCCTTGCAGACGACGTTACTTTTTACCATAAATGGGGTTTAAATAGTGGGTTTTTACTTTCAATTGGTACGAAAGTTGATACAGAATATCAGGCCTACTCTTTTTAGAATTTTGGGGAAATGCTTTAAAAATAACCTCCCACTTTTGCTTTGAATGTTATTGTTAATCATGTCCGGACGCCGCATGATTTTTTTTTGGGGGGGGGGGTTGTGTGCAGTCACGTAGGCAGTAACATGATGTCATGAACAATTTTTTCGGTCAGTCGTTTTCGCGGTGCACAGGAAACATGTTTCAGGTCACGACTGTGACATCAGAAACATGTTCCAGTTCAAGGGCCATCAAAACGTGCTCCAAATCAAGTCAAGTCTGTTACAAGCCTAGATCTCCGTATTCATGAAATGACTGAGAATATTCCTATGCCCCCTGGATCAGTCCATTGTAGGTTGCTCCCCAACTAATACCCTTACCCATTTACATGTGTACTCCTGGGTGGAGAGAGGCAAGTGGAGGGGAAGGCTTGTGAGAGAGATACGCAACGTCATGAACGTTTTAATTTATTTCCTGAAAAGTTTTCATATAAAGGGGAAAAAATTAAGAGAAAACATATCATTTTGGGAGGGGGGGCCAACTTATCTTACATGTATGTTTTTGTAGTACTACACATAAGGCAGACGATTAACCCCAGACGACACACCTTTTATCCTGTTGAGACACACAACGCTTCGTTGTATTTGAATCCCCTCTTTTCACTTATTTCCCCCTCCCCAAGGCTTACAACAAATTGGAAAAGTTTACAGAGGCAATGGAGGACTGCCGGACGGCCTTGCAGTTGGAACCCAACAACGTCAAGGCATTGCTGCACCTTGGCAAGGCCCAGCAGGGACTGAAGGATTACGAGGCGGCTGTTACGACTTACCAAGAAATCCTCAAGATTGACAAGAAATACAAGAGAATGGTCGCAGGTGGGTCAGCAGTCTTCAGGCCAAATGCACGAACATGAGATGCGATCATGCTAAATGAGTCATTTGTTGGCCCTCGTCAATTTTGTGAAATTTTGACAAAACCAATAAACCATTATAACTAAATAACAATTCAGAGAAATGATCCACAACTCCTAGTCTGTGTAGTCTTTTTGACCATTACCAGATAATGGCTGTACATGTAGAAGATTTGAAAAATACATTGTCAGGTTTATTCACTGAGCTCTTAAAAGCTCTGTTCAATACTGACATGACATTCAATTGCCCATAACCAGAATTTGTATTAATCCTAACTCCCTAGGCGTTTTTGCTAGGATACAAACTCAGTCCTGCAAAATCCTCCAACTGCTTTCATGTAAAAATTGCATACAGCCTCAATCCTGCAAAATGCTCTGTTATTTATGTGGTCCTTGGAGGGATGACCACTGCCTCAATCCTGCAAAATCTTTCAGAGAGTTTTAAGGGGATCAAAGTGTCATCTGCAACATATCAGCTGACATTTGAAGAAAAAACAAGTGGGGAAAAAAAAAACTGCGTCACCGCACAACTTTTGGGGCAAGCTCCATACCAGAAACTGGAGACTTTGTTTTGGCCTTAGGGTTAACGGGGGATTATACTGTAGAAAACTCTGTCCTTTTATGTCCTTTTATGAAACGTGCGATTGACTTTATTTTCAGATAATGTCATGAGAGCCTTGGAAGCAGATGCCAACGAGCGTGCAGAGAAGCGTAAAGCAGAGGCGACGGTTCTGAAAGATCAGGGGAACCAAGCGTTCAACAAGGGTGATTACACACGAGCCATTAAACTCTACACGCAGGGCCTGGAACATCTAAAAGACTTTGTGGTGCTGTACACCAACAGGGCACAGGTAAACAAGGGCATGTTTTGGCGCTGTGACCGTAAACATGTTTCTGGTTTGCGGCCGTTTTGGCGCTTCGGTTACACTGAAATGACGTCATTGTTTCGACCAAAGTTGAACCGATGTTTCCGGTCGGTTCACTTATGTTTCAAGATGGCGGAAAGGTAAAGAAGCCTTGCAGACAACGTTACTTTTTACCATAAATGGGGTTTAAATAGTGGGTTTTTACCTTCAATTGGTACGAAAGTTGATACAGAATATCAGGCCTACTCTTTTTAGAACTTTGGGGAAATGCTTTAAAAATAACCTCCCACTTTTGCTTTGAATGTTATTGTTAATCATGTCCGGACGCCACGTGATTTTTTTTGGGGGGGGGGGTGTGTGCAGTCATGTAGGCAGTAACATGACGTCATGAACCATTTTTTCGGTCAGTCATTTTTGCGGTGCACAGGAAACATGTTTCAGGTCACGGCTGTGACATCAGAAACATGTTCCAGTTCGAGGGCCGTCAAAACATGCTCCAAGTCAAGTCAAGTCTGTTACGAGCCTAGATCTCAGTATTCATGAAATGACTGAGAATATTCCTATTCCTCCTGGATCATTGTAGGTTGCTCCCCAACTAATACCCTTACTCATACTCATTTACATGTGTACTCCTGGGTGGATAGAGGTAAGTGGAGGGGAAGGCTTGTGAGAGAGATACGCAACGTCATGAACGTTTTAATTTATTTCCTGAAAAGTTTTCATATCAAGGGGAAAAATTTAAGAGAAAACATATCATTTTGGGAGGGGGGGGGCAACTCATCTTACATGTTTGTTTTTGTAGTACTGCACATAAGGCAGATGATTAATCCCAGGCGACACACCTTTTATCCTGTTTAGACACACAACGCTTCGTTGTATTTGAATCCCCTCTTTTCACTTATTTCCCCCTCCCCAAGGCTTACAACAAATTGGAAAAGTTTACAGAGGCAATGGAGGACTGCCGGACGGCCTTGCAGTTGGAACCAAACAACGTCAAGGCATTGGTGCACCTTGGCAAGGCCCAGCAGGGACTGAAGGATTACGAAGCGGCTGTTACGACTTACCAAGAAATCCTCAAGATTGACAAGAAACACGAGAACATGGTCGCAGGTGGGTCAGCAGCTCTTCAGGCCAAATGCACAAACATGAGATGCGATCATGCTAAATGAGTCATTTGTCGGCCCTTATCAAATTGTGTGAAATTTTGACAAAACCAATAAACCATTATAACTAAATAAATTTGTCGCAGGTGGGTCAGCAGTCTTCAGGCCAAATGCACAAATATGTCATGCGATCACTTGTTTTTAATTACATTTTTTGAATAGAGCTGCATTTCAGTTTACATTTGGTGAAAACCCCAAGTGAATGCGACCTTCGGTTCAGAAGTTATGGGACTTGGAACACAGGCAGATCAGAAAGAAGGAAACAGAGAAACAGAGAAATCAACGATTAAAAATTAAAGTGTTTATCACACAACAATAAACATGCTTTATTTCAGGTTATTGAATATTAACTTCTCAGCAAAAATGTCACATTTTAGATACTTCATCGTTATAATTTCTCAGGAAAAAAAAGTTGACATGAAAGAGGACATATGTAGCCTTCCGATTTTACAAAAAAAGTCAATTTTGAAATTTTTACCCTTACTGAATATTTTGGGCTTGATAATAATAATTGCCGACAAACGACTCATTTAGGTTGATAGCATCTCAAATGTGAATCTGAAGCTAATTTGAAATAATTCAGAACACGTATTCAAATGAGTTGAAATGTTTGCAGATCCGCAGTGCATTTATTTGCTGATTATTTTCCAACTGCACTAGGCTACATTGCAGCTGTGAATCTAGCCGAGTCCACAGCCAAGTCGGATATGGAGGCTGAGAGGCTGTTCAGTGAGGGCGACGTCAAGGCAACGGGCGTTCAGGAGATCGGACTCAATGACGGTAAGCAAAAACTCTGCCTTAATTTAAGAAAAATACAAATGTAGGTATGTAATTGAATATTTCTTATCCCAAAAATGTCCATTTTATAGCATTTCATATAATCTTGAATTTTGGTTTAACTATAGACCCTTTGTTGGTTGCGCCATGACAATGGGCAGCAGCCAATTTCATAAAAAAGTGCGCAGCTTGTGCCATGTTGAGTAAGACTTACGTAACAAATTTGCTGCGCAGCTGCGCAATAAACTTCAAAATCAATTTCACAAAACTTGGCACAGCTGCACAGTGCTTTAAATAATTTAAGCATCTTGGTCGAGGATAAAAGCAGCATTTACGACGGCTGTTTGTGCATGAATTTTTCAGTCGTTGGATCACTTTGTCTTTGGATCAGCCTGCCATTTTGAAAATTATTTTGTCCCTCTTGTATCAATCTTGATAAGTTGTGCAACAAGCTCTACGACAGTCCTGATTTGCTGGTAAAATGTGTAATTTTCAGTTGCTACGCCACAACTTAGGCCGCCTAAAATGATGGTGCAAGTTGCATCATAATTTATTGCGCAACTTGTGGACTTACGCACTATGTGACTTTCGTGAAATGTGTCATAAGTGAAATGTTGCGCAACTTTCCCAGTAAATTTTGGCTCCAGCAAATTTGCTTCAAATGTTACTTAAGATTTTGTGAAATCGGCTGCTGGTCTGTCTTTTCTTCATTATTTTGTTTATGGTGTAAGTCAAGGACACACGCAACATTATCAATGAATCGAGGACAGAAACCGAATCGAGGACACCTCGGTTGGAAAATGTGTACAAAACCAATGAGAGCTGTTGCAAAAATGTTAAGGGACAAACAAAGGAAAAGAGAAGAGAAGCAAAAGAAAATCCTTGATTTACACCATAACAAACGTGCTAGTCTGCATGTGTGTTATGTTTTGGTTTTGGTTAGGTTAACTCTTGTCAGCACAAGAACATTAAAAATACCTTACTGAGGAACTTGACATTTCGTTTGTTGATTGTTCTGGATAGTCTTAACAGGCCTATTAATTTTGGGGCCGACAGGTCAAAGGTCAAGGTCACTATTGCTAAAGCAAAAGAAATCTTGTTAACGAGTTAACTTGAGAAATACTTTACCTTAAAGAACTTGAAATTTGGTTTGTGGGTTGTTCTTGGTAGTCTTAAGAAGCCTATTGCTTTTGGGACCAACAGGTCAAAGGTCAAGGTCACTATTGTTAAAACAATGGAAATCTTGTCAACGCGATAACTTGAAAATAATTACTAGGAGCTTTAAATTTGGTTTGTGGGTTGTCCGTCATTCTTGATAGTCTTAAGAGGCCTGTTGCTTTTGGGGCCGACAGCTAGGTCAAGGTCACTAATTGCTTGAGAAATACTTTACTTAGGAACTTCAAATTTGGTTTGTGGGTTGCTCTTACCGTAACCACAGTAACAGACAGTCAAGCAGCTCTGACCCAACAACTACCAGATGATCAACAAACAACTCAGTCTGGCAGTGGACAGCCTTCCCAGCAGGAACCAACGCAACAACCTCTGCCGCAACTACAGCCAAGACCGGGTGAGACACAAACATTTGTCCGTCAACCCTGCATGTTATGACTCCCCTGGCCCTGATATCGGTTCCCTGTCAGCATCCTTCCCCTCCATCCTTTGCATTGACGCTATTAGACACAATATATAGCATTGCAGTGTCCCTGAAACAAGGGGGACCACACTGCCGACCAGCCCCCTGTCAGCTCAGAGAGGGGGCTCTCGGGATCGAATGGGACTTTTCACTTTTCATTGAGATCTGTGAAGTTCCAATGTGCATGGAGGCCTAATTACTCTCCTGTTTTACTGGTAGTTTGATTAAATTACACAAATTTTAAACTTGAACTCAACTTACATGTACATGTTCAAGCGGTTTGTTCTAATTGATACACTGACAATTTAAACTTGAAACAAATTATTAGAAAGCATCCTTGCAACAGTTTACAAACTAAGTCTATACAGTTATTCCTTTTCAGAAGTAAATTGCATGAAAATAATTATGCAGACAAAAATCCATGGTTATCAAGTGAAGAACAGGAGAAACTTAAAAGGCTTGTAAAGCAACAGTGTATTTTAAACAACAATTCCCGATGCCCTTAAACCGGGCCCGGACCCCACGCCGTCGACCCCGGACCCCACGCCGTAAGAAATTTGCCCTTCACGCTCGCATTAGTCCTTGGGCAGAAGCCCCTATTTGCATCCTTTCAAAAGTTTACAAAATATAAGCCTATCCAATTCCTTTTCACAAATAAAATGCACAAAAATAAATATGCAGACAAAAACACATGGTTATCAAGTGAAGAACAGAAGAAACTTAAAAGGTTAAAAAAAAAAAACACATGTGTTACCGCTAACCGAAATGAAAATGAAAAAAATCCTTAGTATCTTAAAACATTTTACTCTTAACCCAGGGCTATAGGGGAAAGGGGGCCAGGAATCGCCTCAGATTTGCAACACAGAGCATTTCGATTCCAAAATTTCCCGGGGCCCTTTATTAGTGGGCCCCTGACCCCACGCTCTCATTAGTCCTCGGAGCAAATGCCCCAACGCATTGTTGCAACAGTTTACAAACTAAGTCAATATGATTCTTTTTCCAATAAACAATGCAGGAAATATGAATTCGAAAATACATGGTTTACTATTTTGAAGTACACAGTAACTTAAATGTTTAAAAGCAGGAGTATATTTATAAAGAATCCTTATAATCGTAAAAGCTTTTGCTCAAACAATTCAGGGGTAAAGTGGCCAGGAATGGCCTCAGATTGCACCACAGAGCATCTAGAATCCAAAATTGTCAGGGGCTTCACGCTCGTATTAGTTCTTGGAGCAAATTCTCCAAAGTTGTGCCCCCCTTCTAAAAAATCCTGGATCCGCGCCTGACGTATGTGAAGGGCAATAAGACAATATTGCTTTACATTACCCCAACGCAAATTCCATCTTATGAGTAATATTTTAAAAACCTAAATATGGTGTTATTCACATACATGTACCTGTTATTCACATAAATGTACGAGTGAAAGTTGGAAAAAATCATTCAGGTGGGACTGGAACCCACGACCTCCTGCTTTCTAGTGCAGATGTCTTACCACTCGACCACCGAGCTAACGGGATCGGTTGGCTGGTTCGAATCCGATGTACATAGCAGTGGGTATCACATAAACTATTATAAGATGGAATTTTTGCGTCGGGGTGATATAAATCAAATTAGGTTTTGCCCTTCACCGACGTTTAAACACTGTATACTCAGTGTGTTACCTCCCGAGTGAAAGTTGGAAAAAATCACTCTGGTTGGACTCGAACCCACGACCTCCTGCTTTCTAGTGCAGATGTCTTACCACTCGACCACCGAGCTAACGGCATAGTTTATGTGGTACCCACTGCTATGTACATCAGATTCGAACCAGCCAACCAATCCCGTTAGCTTGCTGGTCGAGTGGTAAGACATCTGCACTAGAAAGCAGGAGGTTGTGGGTTCCAGTCCCACCCGAGTGATTTTTTTCCAACTTTCACTCCGGAGGTAACACACTGAGTATACAGTGTTTAAACGTCAGTGAAGGGCAAAACCTAATTTGATTTATATCACCCTGACGCAAAAATTCCATCTTATAATAGATATTGTAATTCTTGCTTTTGATTGTAGATTACCCACAAATAAGTGGAGCCAGCATAGGGAACACCGGCACAATCAGCGGTGACCAGAACCCTGTCATTGTTGATCCAAGGATAGTTAATATCACTTACAACAAGCCGTCGGAGGAACGCGGTAAATATAATCTTGTTTGATGCAACGAAGTAGTTTGATATCTTAAATTAAGTGTCAATGTATTGGGGGGGGGGGGGCAGGGGGAGGGTGGTTTACAGTTTACCATGGTGAGTTAAAGGTAAATGGTTTCCGGATGATAACTTGAGTTAGAAATGAGTTTTTGGTGTCTAACTTTGGTAGAGAGTTGCCCTTGGGAGTAGGCAAGTTGGGATTGGTTTTGGGGTCAAAAGGTGAAAGGTCACCATGGTGAGTTAAAGGTAAATGGTTTCCGGATGATAACTTGAGTAAGAAATGAGATTTTGATGTCTAACTTCGGTAGGGGGTTGCCCTTGGGAGTAGGCAAGTTGGGATTGGTTTTGGGGTCAAAAGGTCAAAGGTCAAGGTCACTGTGGTGAGTTTAAGGTAAATGGTTTCCGGATGATAACTTGAGTTAGAAATGAGTTTTTGGTGTCTAACTTTGGTAGAGGGTTGCCCTTGGGAGTAGGCAAGTTGGGATTGGTTTTGGGGTCAAAAGGTGAAAGGACACCATGGTGAGTTAAAGGTAAATGGTTTCCGGATGATAACTTGAGTTAGAAATGAGATTTTGATGTCTAACTTTGGTAGGGGGTTGCCCTTGGGAGTAGGCAAGTTGGGATTGGTATTGGGATCAAAAGGTCAAAGGTCAAGGTCACCGTGGTGAGTTTAATGTAAATGGGTTACTCCATGAAGTTGGAATAATAGCTGATAATGCTGAAATTACTCTCTTTGTTATCAATTTGTAAAAATTTTAGTCTTTCAAATCCTTCAAAGTAACATTTTCCTCAAAGGATATGATGTTACTTTTAAAAATAAAATCAAACTAGGACTGTATCTGCCCTCAAATAATTTTTATTGGGCAAAATGTGTGCAAAACCACTAAAAATGTCAGTAAAAAGTGTGACATTTAAATTAACAGAAACATGTGTTTTTATTTTTGCTGTTTTGTTGCAAAAATGCCAACTGATCAATCCTTTTAAATAATTTACTATTAGATTAAAGTCATATTCACCCATATCTATTCATAAAATTGTACAAAAGCTGCTCGTGTTGATACTACATGCATGTGAAAATTCTGTTACCTATGCTACATTTGGTGTCCACACTTTTTGTGTCCTGTAGCATAGGTACTAAGGCTTGCTATCTCCATACAGAAACTGTATCTGAAAGATTTTGATTTTAATATGTTCAACTCACTCCAAGTTGAGTTTTTAAAAAGTTGAATTCTCCAAACTTGCTGCTGTTTATAAGATGCAAGAAGAAAAAGTATCATTTTTTGAAATGGTGTCCATCTAGCATCGGTATTTTCAAACTAAAGTAACCCCTCAAGCTGAAATACCTCCACACATACTGACACATCTTAACCTTTGGTAAATAGTAATTGGATGGATATTCAAAATAAAACATGCATTGCAAAATTGTTCTTCAGCAATGAAGATTTATGTTCCAAAATATAGCGTGGTGTCCAGATGTAGCATCGGTAGAAAATGTAGCATAGGTAAGAGAGTATTCCCTTAGTTGTGAAGCTATGATTGTAGACAAATTATTTTTTTAATGTTAGAACCAAGAAAGTGGTTAATTACAATAAATTAATAACAATCAGATACAGATGAACTCTATTTTACATAAGGGTTTGCTCCTCTAAAGTGAAAATTGATAAATAGGACACGGTGTCCATGTAGCATAGGTATTGTTCCACACTCTATAATTCATACATACATCCAAATTATGTATCCAAAATTCAGCTTCTGTATTCGGTTTGCATGTCCACTGCCATAAAACATGATTTAGCCATTTTTTTGCTTAATTTCAGTTAATTACTGGATAAATTGTGCTGTTTTCTACCTATGCTACAGGACACGGTGTCCATGTAGCATAGCTAAAATTGACACATTGTCAGCCATATTTCTCAGCACGACGAGCAAAGGCATACATTTTGAACATCATTTTAGAAAGGTGGTTCACTGACTGTGTCATTTAAGTCAAACTTTTACTCATAAATGCTATTTTAGATCTCTTCTAGCTGAATTGGTTACTTTTTCCAAACAAGCACAATTTTGTCAAAATTACACAAAAAGCCTCAATTACAATGGGTTGTATCAACTTATTTTGAGCATCTACTGAACCATTTGTTTTTTCCTTTGATTATACCCTAAAGTTAATCTTAAACAACAAGAAAACTGACAAATAACCTAACCCATTAAAAAATGTTCAGAGCAATTGTTTAGATTTGGTGTCCATGTAGCATAGGTATTTTGAATTTCCCATCATGAATATAATGATCAACCACAAATTCAGTTTTATGTTTTGGGGAAAAAGCATACTATTTCCTAAAATATAGTAGTTGAGCTATCAAAAACAATATTCAGATCAACATTTGGGAACTTTGACCCAATGTCACACTTTTTACCCGAACTTCATGGAGTAACCCAAATG